GCAAAAGGTGAATGATCAGTTGATTTACTTTTTTTGTAAATCAACGGATCGTTCCTAGTCATCAAAGGATAAACAGAAAATACGTTGATTGATTAATCACTGTTATCTTGCACAGTGGATATGTCAAAAGGGAGTGTTTACATGTCTAGGTTTACTAAAACAAAGGGAATACACTCATATCATGGCGTGAAGTGTCGATGTAAAAACAACATACTTTGTTCAAAGGGTTAACTAGTAATACGTTGATTGATTGCTCATTGTTATCTTTCACTCAATGGATTTTTTAGGAACCGTGGACGTTATGAAAATAGTTGTCACGTGGGCTTTCTCAGCCGACCCTTGAGACTTGACACCTATGTGAAACACCTGAAACAATCTAAGTGATCAGTTGAGAAACGAACACGGGTTATAATATCCCGAAACGATATATATCTTTAAAAATATTTGATTGTTACAGAGACACGTGACATCGAATAAGTTTCTTTGTACAGCTGCAGACGAGTGAGATATTGTTCCTTTGTGTGGATATTCACGGATACATTCCTCGAACAAGGAAGCTGCCCAAAATTTATACACATAAATTTGGTAGGTTGTAGTTATGGTATTTGCATTTTGTTTTCCTTCATTCTCTGTAGCATTGAACCGATTCGTTCTTGTTCCTCTACGTCTTGGTTGGGAAATTCTTCAGATTGACTAAAATTGATTAAGACGATCAAAAGGGCCTAAAAACATCACAACATATTATTATGTAGGATTAGAAGCCAAACAACATAGAAATGTACTTTTCAACGTAACATTTTCAGTCTCTTGGTGATAACATTAAACATCAAAATGTTTGGAATTCGTTATCATAATAATACAGATGGAAATGTTTTTCAGTCACTTTGTAACATAACTGAATATTTAGGCGGTTAATAAATTTGAAAATGTTACACATTTTGACAGTAAAAAAATATACACACTATAAAAAAGCAATGCTAAGGTGAAATATTTACTTTGTGTTGCAAGTCAAAATAGTGTAAACGAAAATCGCAAAATTACCAAGCAAGTGACTTATCAAAATCTCGTCACCATTACCGATGCTACCCGCAAAGATACCTACATTCCCTTATTATCTCGAAAACTGTATTTCATTTTGTTGATCAATGTGACCATACGCCCTTATTACTACCCATAAAAGGGACTAATGCGCTTATGAATGGCGCAGCAGAGGTCGCGAACTAGTCTACATTTCTGCTATACATCCGGGTACTCACTGGGAAAAAACAATAACAAAGGCAACAACCAGTCCCGGAGAATTGCGTTAGATCAGTGCCCCTTTAAGTTAAAATGAGTTAAATTTTGTGTCATGATACTTGAAAGAAATACACTTATGTATTTTCGAAACAAAAACATGGGTTTTGAGTAAAGGAAAATATTCTCGCCCATGGGCCAAACCCTTTTTTCGCCCATGGGCGAAATATTTCAATATTGCCATAAAATCGTTGAATTAAGTTAGAATGAGTTAAATTTTGTGTCATGATACTTGAAATAAATACACTTATGTATTTGCGAAACAAAAACATTGGTTTTGAGTAAAGGAAAATATTCTCGCCCATGGGCCAAACCCTTTTCTCGCCCATGGACGAAATATTTCAATATCGCTATAAAATCATTGAATTAAGTTCAAATGAGTTAAATTTTGTGTCATTGGCGACATAGTGTAAATATTGTGTTTTGAACAATTTTTTTTTCATTTTTTCTTCCTTGGTATGTTCCCATGAAAACAGCATGTTAAATTTTTTAAATATCTTTGATCGAGACTGGGCAAAAACCGTAGAGTTTCTGGACTTTTGGGTTTCCAGAATTAAAATGGGACGTGTTTAAGTAACTTGACGAGATGTGGCAGGAAATGGACCTTCTTGATTGGGCACTGTGTGAAATTGTGTAATTAAGGATACAGGATGCGAGAGTCGCACGCACGCACGCACGCACGCACGCACGCACTCAGTTGCAGTTAACACTTTCCTGTCCCGTGTTATACACAGTCCAAAAACAATTGTTGTTTTGCGTATACATGTATGTTGCTTCACCACTGTATAAGAAACAGATTTCAGTTGGAGCTATATTGACTACTGTCACTGTCCGACTGACACATCACTTCCCTGTGACGTAATAAATATTTATGCGCGCATTCCTGGAAAACTTGCAATGTTTCGGTAATGTTTGTGAGAGAGGGAAAGCACAGAGATTTAGAAGCACAGAATTAAAGAATGACATTATATGATAAAGAGGTTATCACGCTTGTGTGTTTGGGGATGGTAAATACAATGTTTATTCCTAATGCAAGATATTTACCATCCCCAAATACACTCGCGTGATAACCTCTATATCTTACCCACAAAACATTTCATACGGTAACATAGTTTGCATTGATATTTTGCAATGAAAAATATAATATGGATTCCATCAATACTTTTGCTATACGTTTTCGTAATGTGCAGACATGATGATCCCTGTGAACGAGTCCAGATTTACCCTCATTATCTTTCTATCTATTTCAAAACCATGCCCGAGCTAGAAGGTGTTTAACCAAAGTGCTACACATCTACGACCTGCTTTACTTTCCTTCACTTTTCAGTTAAAGCTGACATGCCGTAATGTAACTTAAACATTGTTCAAAGTGACGTTCAACTTAACTCACTTACCCGAACGTGCTCCATAGCCAAATCGTGACCTGCTCTATTGAACATTGTGCATCGTTATGAAATTTAATATGAGGAAACTGCATATCTAACCATCACAGAGAGTCAAATATCCTCAAAAATACAGTTAATCAAAATTCAACAGCTTAACTTTCCGTGGCGGGTTGAAATGTAAAAAATTAATGCTGTAATTAATTTCCTCTTTGTCTGTTTTAAACATCCTCGTGATTTACTGTCCAAATACAGCATGGCAACTTCAACAAAAGAGTTCCAGGACAAGGGAAATGTTTCGGTTCAATGCTGCTCTTAATAGCCACTCCCTTCATTTACATTTTGGGGCCAGGATAATACGCTCATGCAATTTGATAAGGGAATTGTATACACACAAGGACAATATGTGTCATACTGTTTGCAACATAAACTGCCGGGCAAAAGAGGATACCCCCATGTTTGATGGTGGCTATTAATGAAAAGACAATTTGAATCCCTAGCTATTGTAATGTTTGTTTGTTTGTTGTTTAACGCCGCACCCAGCAATATTCCAGCTATATGACGGCGGTCTGTAAATAATCGAGTCTGGACCAGACAATCCAGTGATTTACATCATGAACATCCATCCACGCAATTGGGATCGATGACATGCTCCCGTTAGTCGCCTTTTACGACAAGCATAGTCGTCTTTTACGACAAGCATAGTCGCCTTTTACGACAAGCATGGGTTGCTGAAGACCTATTCTACCCCGGATCTTCACGGGTACCTAGCTATGGTAACGTTTTGATAACGTTTGTAATTGTTTGATGAAATCCAACTTTCAAGTGTGTACTTTCTTTTGTCAAGCAGTTTAGTTTGATAAAGACAGTATCTTGAAGTAAAACAAGTTTGTGTCAGAGTTGAATCCAGGATGTTTGGAAATGGTGTGTAGATGGTGGTGAGAGGGTGTTCTGTTTGTTTGTTTGTTTAGGTCTTCAACAACCCATGCTTGTCGTAAGAGGTGACTATGCTCGTCGTTAAAGGCGACGACAGATTACAAATGTAAACAAATTGTCAGTAGGCTATCTTAGATATATCGGTTCAAATCATCTTTTTCATAATCTGTCATAATGATCATAAAGAGTACATAGGTATGCTTTGATCATCACGTAAATGAAATCTTGTTTCAAAGATTTCATCAAATGAACGAAATACTTCTCGTCTGGAAAGGAATACAATATACTCAGCAACGTCAGCAGATCTTTCCTCAATATGGCGGAGGTGGAGGTGGATTTCATGAGGCCCTTGCCTGGCCCTGGACTGACATTCTGCACTTTGACTGCATAGAAGCACACGGAGGCAAACACGATACTGACTTGTGACGTGTCATTTCGGGCTTTCACATCATGCTTTGAGAGGCGAGGTAACACCCTGAATGATGATCTGCCATGCTTTTCTCTTGTGTGCGATTAATCTATTTTTTAAAAATATTGATTGGTAATGTGATCACAATAATTTGTGTTGCTGAGTATACTAGGAAGTGACTTTGTTTTGACCCATATACAAGTTGAAATTGGGTTTAATGTTGCGTCCAAGATTATTGCACTTATATAGCGACGTGCATGCACGTGTACGTGTGTGTGTGTGTGTGTGTGTGTGTGTGTGTGTGTGTGTGTGTGTGTGTGTGTGTGTGTGTGTGTGTGTGTGTGTGTGTGTGTGTGTGTACTAGTCCGGACTGATGCCGATTTATAGTGCTAGCTCACTGAGATACCATGCCGCAATCTAACATGACACTCGGACATATGCCCCACTCAGACACAGTATACTGACTCCGAGCCGACCAGTTCTTGTTTTAGCCCCTTAATGCTAAGCGCCAGACAGGGTAACAACAAGTACCATCTTTTGACGTCTTTTGGTATGACACGGCCGGGGATCGAATCTCGAACCTTCCGCGTTCCTGGCGGACGCTCTACCACTAGACCAAGGAGGCGGTCTGACCAAAATACAAATTAAAACATCAAGGTACCATGGCATGTTTTGACAATAGGCCTGTGTACCGAGTTAGGACATTACTCAGTCTGTCAAGCCATATGCGCAAATTTTCAATTTCCATTGTTACTTTACCCTTTCTTTTTCATAATATAGGCATTGCCTCACACTACGTATATGTTCACGTGTGTACCAAACACCTGGTAGACACGTTTTAGGGTCACCCACATGTTGGAGCCAGGAACTACATGTAAATTCAGCTGCAAACAGTTATTTCGGCTGTGTCACGTCATGTCAGCTCGATGAAGGTCAGTTACGGTGCTGAAAAAGATTCATAATCCCATAATCGACGTTACCTTTAATGATGTCCTCATGCCCAGTGCCCAGGAACTGTCAGTAGAACTGTGACAGCTGACCGAACACAGCGCAGTCAGCCTCACAGGGCTCGTCCCCCATCAGGAACTTCTTCGTCCCTGGAACAACCGCATGTGTGGACTGATGAATATGAACACATCAAACAACAGATAGCGTACAAGACAGGACATTAGCATACAATCCTTGCAGCATGAGTAACCAAAACGAACGAATAAGTATTTTGATGCATGCTGTAGTGCCGTACGTCCTGAATAAAAGAATGGAAACTGACGAAAGCAGACTCGTTTGAAAGTAGAAGAGTATCATTGTTTTCATTTCAGCTTGAATGCTAATTAGTTTATTCCAGCAACTTGACAAAGACTGCCTCTATAATATGCTGTATCACATTTAGCATTACATGGACATATCAGAAAGTCAATAAACATGGGTCGTCCACAGTTTAAAATGACATGTCAGTTTTGCTGTTCACAGATATTAATCTCTGGGACAGGGAGAAATTTAAATTATCCAGAAATGTCCATACTGTATGTCTCACAATGTACACCAAGCTTGTGTGCATGTTAATATATATATATATGATTTCCTTTGTAAATGGAGACGAGACCTCATGACAAGCCCGACACTCCGTTCAGTCCACTCCAATATAGAATTTTTCAACTCAAATTTCACTTTTGCACAAGAAATAATATTAAGAGGCCGAGCTATAACACAGTATATCCGTTATATTATGTCAGCGTAAATGGAAAGAACGCTCGTGGAAGCCATGACTATAATTCATACATTGTGGGACTTTGAGGAATCCATGTGTCAATCGCCAGTTTGGATTTTGCCTCGTAGATATTGTTCGAACGTTTAATACGGAGGTATAATTTAGAAACACAGGACCATTCCATTTAGTAATAGACGTCAAAGCGTCCTCGTGCTTTAACTATAATCGCCACACTATACTTTTTCACACTGCACATGGGGGTAGAGCTTTTTTTTCTAAGATGACGAACTTAAGACCAACCTTGTGTCTTAAAGAAGATGGGGTTTAAACAGGAACCTGTAATATGTGGTGACTTTAATTGAAAATCCTCGAACAGGGATAACTAACGCGCCGTTCCATCCACTGGAACACACGAATGCGCACATTTCATCTATATATATAAATGAATACAATGTATGGGCACAGCTTCTGCATACCCATGAAGTCAGACAGGGATTGTAGATCCTTCTTAACCATCTCAGCTATCTCCCCTTCTGTGTGTCGCCCCAAGCCATGACTCCAAGCCTTGACTCCAATGCACTTGATAAAAATGATTTGTCGTTGTCAATCTCCATCGGAAGAGGACGAGACACCTGAAACGAAAGTGTTAATTCAATCAAAGATTTGAGTGAACTTGGCTCCTGCCTTCCTGAACCCGTAGGCCTGAACGAAACATGGCGTTTATTATTGCATGACACATTTTTATGTTTTTCCAACTTCTTGAATACATGGTGGCATGTATGACTTTATGGCATTCACTGGTCCTCGGTATCTGAAGATGTGAGGTGAAATGGAGTTTAACGCCGCTTTCAACATTATTACACGTACAAAGCAACGTGCATGCTCGTGTGTGTGGCTGCTTGTACTTGTCCAGACTAATGCCGATTTAATAGTGTTAGCCCACTGAGATACCATGTCGCACGCAATCTAACATGAATATCTAACTCAGACACAGTATACTGACTCCGAGCTGACCAGTCCTTGTTTTAGCACATTAATGCCGAGCGCTAGGCAGAGTAACAAGTACCATCCTTTAACGTCCTTTGGTATGACGCGGCCGGGGAAGGAACCCACCCCCCCCCACCCCCCCCCCCCCACCCCCACCCCCACCAGCGGCAAGGACCCACAAAGCATTCCGACAAAGTTATTTGAACTCTCAGTGCTGCTAAAAATATTCACATTCGGACTTTTCTCACCAATACAGATGTTCCTCCGCCATGACCTGCATCGCCTGAGCTACACTTCTGTCAGCCGGACTCAGATCCATGTTGAGGTCCACACACAGCTTCTGGTTGAGAAAGTTGATACACAGTGTCGTGTCCGGGGTGTATTTCCAGCCGGAACCTGCCATGCTCATCGTATGCCACTGTGTGTCGTTATAACCGTGCACGTCGCTCACTCATTTTCTCAGAACACAGCAGTATGAGCCACAAGTACATGGTGTTTGTCGATAAAGAAGCTTTGAATTCGTTGTTGAAATGAATTTTGCTTGTACTAGCCCAGACTATTGCCGATTTATAGTGCCAGGTCACTGAGATACTATGCCGCAGTTTAACATGAGTACCCCACTCAGACACAGTATACTGACTCCAAGCCGACCAGACTTTGTTTTAGCCCCTTTATGCCGAGCAGTAGTATAGGTAATGGGGGTTCTGCCGCAACTCCACTGGAGCTGGATTCATATACCTATACTGCTACTACAGATGGATTTTTTTATGCCAAAATGATTATGTGATTCAATGATAGTCATGAGATTAAGTTAAATTGGCTCTAGCTCACTAATAACTGGGGCCAATCATTGCTTTAGATAAGCCTAATTGGTAATAAAAATATTCTTTATTATTTTTATCAATAAAGCGATATTCAACATTTTTATTAAGTTCTTCGTTCATTTTACTAGGAGACCAGACTATATAATTACACTCTTCTTGTAAATTGATAAGAAACAATTGATAACCGTATTTGGTTGGTTTGACATCACTGATATAATAAAAACCTTGTGGTAATTCACTCCATTTAAGAGCTTTTTCGATTGTTGTCTCCATTATTATATATATATTTATGTATGCTTTTGTCTAAATGTGATCTAACGATAGTAAGCAATCTATTTTTAATCTCCAACCAGTTCTTTGGTTTTGGCACAGAATAATTGACGCGCTTGTTGCCTCCCCTGTTCTATGAACTGTTTTTTCTCGTCTTCGCTAATACCATTGGTCTTACGAGATTTTGATCGAATATCCTGCTTCATTGCGTTGTATTTGGTGAGTTCTGACAACACTAAACGAAACTCATCCTCGGATATCTTACAATCGACCATTGCTGTCGAAATATGATCGTCAATGCTGTTCAACTTTGCTTCGGCGAGTATCCGAATACTATCGTGTTTTAATGCTTTCTTTTGTAACCTATGAGAAATGAATTTTATCGCTATTCCTGCCAGTCCCGAGACTCCAGTGGCTTTTTCCATGCCGAGCACGATAGGCGAGGCAATTATAGTTGATAGTAAACCAATACCTGCTACGCCGAGTCCCATGCCAGCTGCTACAAGCGCGGTGTCAACTCTGTCCAGAGCATTCACGGCTCTGCGATACTTTTTATACAATCCAAGTCTCAACTCCATATCCTTCTCTATTCTATGTTTTATGGCGCTTATTTGATGTAATCGAAATCCATCAACAGTATCCATCTTTTCAAATGCCTTATCGAGCGCCGGATATAAACTCATAGTGTATATTACGATCATATAATAGTCTTTAATTGGTCTTGCTTAAATGTTTCAAGAGTATACTTCAACCTTATCAAATGAATATTATACGGCCTCCCCTGTTCTATGAACTGTTTTTTCTCGTCTTCGCTAATACCATTGGTCTTACGAGATTTTGATCGAATATCCTGCTTCATTGCGTTGTATTTGGTGAGTTCTGACAACACTAAACGAAACTCATCCTCGGATATCTTACAATCGACCATTGCTGTCGAAATATGATCGTCAATGCTGTTCAACTTTGCTTCGGCCAGTATCCGAATACTATCGTGTTTTAATGCTTTCTTTTGTAACCTACGAGAAATGAACTTTATCGCTATTCCTGCCGCAACTCCACTGGAGCCGGATTTATATACCTATACTGCTACTACAGGTGGCATTTTTTATGCCAAAATGATCATGCGATTCAACGATAGTCATGAGTTGTATTAAACGAAACATCAATATTAATTAATAATGAATAAAATTTACTATAGCCCACGAGGATATTGGAAAGGTGTAGGAGCAATAAAAAAATTAGCCACTGCGGCTAAGGTATCTAAAGATGTGGCCAAGGATTGGTTAAAGAAACAAGCGATGTGGCAAATATATTTACCGGCACCGCGTTATATACCGAGGAAGAAGTTTGATATTTTTACAACGAATGAAGTTCATCAGGCTGACCTCTTGTTTCTTCCCCAGGATAAGGTAAAACGCAAAACATATAAATACGCTAACCGTAGTGGATGTGGCTAGTCAAAGAGGCTGAGCCATTAACCTCGAAAGAATCAACAGAGGTAGCTAATGCACTGAGTCGCATATATAAACGCGGACCACTAAAATGGCCTTAGCTATTTCAAGTAGATCCCGGTCGCGAGTTTATGGGATCGGTAACTAAACTGTTAACAAAGAACGATGTCGAAATCAGGCGTGGTGAAAGAGAGGCCCACCGCAGTCAAGCTATCCTCGAAAGATTTAACAGGATATTAGCGGAACGTTTGTTTGGCTATCAGTATGGGATCGAAATGAAATCGGAACGATTGAGATCAACCGAATGGGTGACACGATTATCAGCCGTTGTATCAGCGTTGAATAATGAAGTAACGAGATTAATAGGGAAGAAACCATCCGATGCTATTAAAATTAAATCCGTGACTTCCGAATCTTCAGCACCGAGGAGAGGCAAAGAACGAAAACTTCCGGATAGAGTAAGGGTAAGATATTTATACCAGGCCTGTGAACTCGAAGGAGGCCTACGTCCCGCAACCGATCCCATATGGTCTCTTAAGACATATAACATTAGTCGATTGGTTATGAAAGAAGGAGAGCCTATTCTTTATTATCTTCAAGATGGACCGGGTAGGGCATTTGTACGAGAAGAGTTGTTCATAGTTCCCGACGGTACGGTATTACCACCATAACCATAAGCATAGGTAGTTACACCATCCTTATCAATCCATCTCTTTGTATCTAAGGGGGATAATGATGTCTTGTTCATTCTTAATCCATATATTCTATGATTGTAACTTCTTAAAGAGTTCATCTCGTGTTTGAACGTTCTACCGTTGAATAATGATTCTTTATACTGTTCGTGTTTGATATGCTTTTTTACAACATACTTCTTAACGCCCTTAGCTTTTCTTATCTCCCCATTATCGGACTTCTTTATAGAATACATCTTAGGTCTTAATCCTACATACTCCGCTATATGAGTCCCAGCACATTCATCCTTCATCTTACCTAACACCTTTTTATTTAATACGCTGTGCAGTGGATTATCTTTAGGGTAATCGCTCGTGTCGTACATATCTATTTTTTCTGCCATATCTTTATACACATCCTCGGTTTGTATTTCCATCAACAAAGAATCTGTGTCGGTATATAACACCTCGCATCTATCGTTGTATTGCTTCTTAAGTTCGTTCTATTAAAAGTCATACATTAAGTGTTTTGACAAGTCGAGAATACTCATACCGACGTACACCGGTCTGTTGAATTTTATATTAATCTTCTGCATATGCAACGCGGCTAAGTCGTTATCGAATATCTTGCTTCTGTTAAAAGCCGGACTGGCTATAAGTTTCCTGAGTCTTTCTCCCTCATTAGATCTGACTAATTTAACATCAACACGCTTCCTTAGATTCTCCATAGTTTTACCAAATACTGAGTTATTCATGAGCTTATATAGGTTCTTTTCGAAATCACTGGTAGCTATCTTTCTTAAATCTGTGTTCAGCCTTATATAGGGCTCCATCCAAGGGCTTTGATCAAACTTTAGAACTCTGTGTATTTTCTTAAGTTTCATACCTAACGATAGATACAACTGGAGATTTCTGTAGTGAACTATATATTTTGTCTTATCCATCAAATTTGGTACGAGTTTTTCAACGTTAGCTAAGCTAGTATTACCCATCAAGGAGCTTTGATATTCCGACATCCAATCTTTATTAACCATTAATCTTTCGGGAGATAGCGGATAACTGTTATGATCTATATGTAACGAACTTGGATATTCCAAGTCAACTTCTAGTATGTACCCTTTATTCGCATCATTCACTTCGATATTATGGATATCATTCACTTCGATATCATCGACCCATTCAAAAACACCCGTGGGTAAAGGTTGACTCATAGCCCATCCGTACAAATTTTTAGCGTTGAGATATAATATGTGCGTGTCGGGTTTACTCGGATCGTATCCTTCCACTAATTTATTATTAGCCTTAGAATACCTTTTCGCCGCCATCGATATACCACCTCTTAATCCTTTCTCAATAAACAAGTGCATATCGTAATCTGTGAGTAGTTTTAGTTCTACGCCGGTCTTCTTCAACAATGCATCCCACGATAGTCCGGGACTGGAATAGTACCATGCCGGATCGAAGCCGTATTGTTTTAAACATGTCTTTCTAAATATCTCGAATATATCGGCGAGTAACAGTACATCGGTTTTTAAGTACAGATCGTGATAATCGCCTAAATTCTTACAACCTAATTTATCCGAGACTGTGAGAGCGTGTTCATAATCAGCATCTGTTATTTTAGATTCTGTTAAGTTACTATAGAATGATTCGAGGAGTGGTAATTCAGTTTCGTCGAATCTAGACCAATCATCCATATATTCCTAAGGATATATACCTTTTCTCAGCAACAAATGACGAGTTATCTTATCGGTATATTGATTTGTTATTGCAAAGTCATCGGGATTGTTCGCATTAGCTAAATTGTCCAGGGAAGATAACAGAAACTGTACGGAGTCTATGAATATAAGCCCATTACTTTGCTTTATTCTAGATTTCCCATCCTTGTCCCTATAATGTATAGGTTTAGTCAACGAGAACGATATGTATTTTTCCATATTATTAGGAATGCACGTTAAACTGCCGTCGGTCTTTGAGATAGCTTGCATAATGAGATGTGAATCGTATCCCCTAAGATTATGAAACACAACGGGGATGGGTATTGTTTGAGAATTCATTTTTAGTTTCAAGTTACACTCGTTATGCGCGGCTCCCCGATAATTACCCTTGACGTGACAATGATCTCTTACGGAATCCCCATCCAGGGGTTTATTACAAACATGACAACTCGTTGACTTCTTATAGACCCTCCAATCATCCCTCGTCATACACATTGGTTTCTTACACGATAATTTTCCCGTGATTATTCTCTCTTCATTTTGTGGATATTCTAGGAACTTTCCCGCTGCATCGGGACCTCTGTAAATCACGGGCTGGTTTGTTTTCCCATCATACCTTACAACTATATATCCAAACCCACAAGTAATATGTTCTTGAGTTTTGTACGTAAAACTACT